TTCGGGAGCGATTGTTATCTCGCCTCAAATAATGCCCCGGCTTTGCGGTTTTATTTTTCATTTCGGCAATTAAATCTTCGGCTCGGAAAATTTAGGGAACGACGAGGCCGATACCGATCTCGCGCTTGTTTCCCGCGAGGAGGAAGATGGGTAAAGAGCACAATCTAGCGATAACACGCCGCATGCTCCTCGGCGTGTTAAATCTAGCCTTTAATCTGGCGATCTCTCCTCGCGCGCGCGATCCGGTAATCTCTCGACGATCGGGCGTTCGTTCGCCGCAGAGGCGTGCGAAATGCTTAAAATCCCCGATGTGTAACGCCTGTTTTTGCGCCACGGTGCGCGCCTTCCTGATTCGCGAAGCGACTACGAAACCAAGCGCGACCACGGCGCGTTTGTATAAATGAAGAAGAAGAAGAAGAAGAAGAAGAAGAGAAGGCAAGCGAGAGGCGCCTCTCCGAAGGCCTTCTCCGAAGGCAGTGTAGTCAATCACGATCGAGTCTTCCGCTCGGTTGGCTCGGTTCTAATTGGTCGCCAACACCCCAGAACCGCGGACCTCTCTTTAATCACGACCGTGATCCGCTATCGATTGAGGTGCCGATCACGCGCCTGCGAGATACAAAAATCTCAATGAGGGAAATTCCACGGGCAGCGAGCAACCTTTCTCCGTCGACGCCATCGACACTCGCTCTCGCGTCGCAACATTTTTGTTTTCCTCACTCCTCCTCGTCCCGCGCGGACTCTCGTCCGCCTTTAACGTTGCCCGGGATAAAGTCAAGTACGAGAATTTTAATTTTAACGTTTAATCGCCCAGATATTTTAATATCCTTACGAAAGATGATACGCAATTAAATTGTTATTAAAACGACCGAAAAATCGATCTCGAGAATAGCGCGAGAATATCTATACCGCGGGAACGCGGAGACGTCCGAGATCCCGATATTGCGTAGTTAATACTGCGGACGATCGCTCCCTTTATCCCCCTTTACCCTTTACGGGGCACGGAGAGACGGCGGCAGATGTCGCCGCGCCGAATACTAGATTTTCTACGCCGCGGTGTTATCACGGCATACGAGGAGGAGAGCGAGTCATCGCTTTGATGACACGCGCCTTATCGGGGCCGATAATTTGTATGCCGTGCGCTTATACGCCGCTACTTCCAAGTTGCACTTCGACGGGCGAAGTTACGCGAGGCGCGCACGCGACGGCGTTAGACGCGTAGAATGTAATTTGCCCGTAACCCATGGCAATGTGCGTACATAGGATATTCGCGTACGGCAGCTAAACGAGATTGCACCGCACCACCTGTCGCGCGCTTGTCCGAGTTGCTTGACTACGTCGAAAAAAACTCACCGCGATGTTTTTACTTCGTACCTCTTTATCTTTCCCCGTGATAATTGCCAATCAACGATGATTCGTATTAATCGGACATCTTATCTGGATATTACGCGACGAGTCCGTATGAAACGCACATTAGCTGCATAAAGAAATCGAAGTCGCGTAATGGAGTCTGTATCGGTGGTTCGCTCTGATATCGTTTAGGATTATTTATGTCGATCTGTTTAATAATATAACAAATGATAGCGAAAAACATGAATGTGTGTTCCTATGTTGTAGTTTAGTCTTAGTCTTTAATAAATATTTAAGTCATTTTTCTTTAAGTTATTTATCCTTGGCTATATACGCTTGGCCATTAAGATTTTCAATCGGCATCTTTAACAAGAAAATGTATCATATATCAATAGTGAAAGAACCGTATCCTGGTAAATTAGACAAGAAAAGAAAACGGCGTGCAGGTAAACATCACTTTATTTATTCGTCTCATTTTTCTGTTATTTTATGGTTTTGAACATTGAAATAGATTTTATGCAAAGTCACGTCCGAAACATATGAATCTTGCGAGAAAATAGTGCGAGAAAACAATTAGGAAAATAATGGTCGAAACATATGGACGCCAATTGTGAGTTCCAAATTCTGACGGAATTTCGCATGGCGCAGAGCTATACAACGGATACAAAGTAGGTAAGCGGCCAGTAGTTTATTGAGCATGACGGTATCGCGGCACGATCGTGTCTTATACATGCCTTCTCTAATGGACTTCGTATTCTCTTGTTCGGACGCCGAACGTCCCATGTGGACAATGTCGAAAGATGTACACGTCATCGCGAAACGACGGGGTGATCCGCACCGAAATGACAAAGATACAAATAATTTAAAATTGAATATGAATCTGTAACGGAAGATGGCTTAAATAAGTTCAATCTCCTTTTATTAAAAAAAAACATACACGCATATTTAGCAAATAAAAAATTATTCAATAAAAAGCATGTTTAATGTAAAGCATCCCATATTTAATATTCTGATGAAAAATATAATATCTATATATAACATTTAATATCTAATATTATGTTAATAAATTTTGAAAAAAAAATTATATAAAATTGTTTTAAATGAATAATTTAACTGCGATGTAAAAATAGTTACTTGATAATTTAAGACAATTTATTTTTTATTTCACGTGATTATTTTTTGAATCATTAGTTTTTAATTATTTAATTATTATTGCATTTTATTTTTTATTGTGCTTATAGATATATAAATATCTCGTAGATAAATATCCATTTTCAAGACTAATATATGTACAAGATCTTGAATATACTGCAAAATGACTATATATATGATATAAAATAAATTGATACGTTAGATTTAACAAAAACACTAAATTCATGACGAACGCGCACGATTTTGCGATTTTTCGATGATTTTGCGATGATCGATTTTTTGTTCACCATTAGAATTTCGCATGCACGCTAGGCTTCACGATCACATTTTTATACCGGTGATCGTTGACCAGAATCTTAGTTCGGTGAAAAGGACAGAGAGAACGTTCTCGAGAATATCGTGGTGGACTCGCGTTAAAACTGACCGAGGCGCGGCAGCCTCATCATGGCTCAGCGATTCGAAGACCTCACTGGACGGTGATCGTAGAAGAAGAAGCCGTAGAGTCCGCGGCGCCGTGCCGCGACTATGGATAGCCGCGGGGAGATAGCGCGAGAGCTTCATGGCTTCATGGCGACGGCGACAGCAGCGGCGGCGGCGGCGGCGGCGGCGGCGGCGGCAGATCGCGGTATGAAGAGCGAAGAAGTTAATGGCATCGCAACTGAGCGCGTTCGCGCGTGATCGCTTTTGAGATTCCCAGACCATAGAAGTCACCTCTTCCGTCTTTGTTCATCAATCAATTTTTCCCATGCGGGATTTATTTTAAAAATAATTAATATGTCCGCTACTTTCACAATTTTTTTTATTATTTAATCTTTTATTACTACTGTTATTTGAAACTATATTATTACTACTATTTATTACTACTGTTATTTAAAAATTACAAGCGAAAGCATTCAAATATCTTTATTCCATATACATATATATCGAATTATTCTAAATTATTTCTAGAATTTATTAGAAATTCTAAATATTTTATTATAATATGTTAAATTACAACATAATAAGATTTCCCTTATGTCGAAGAATTAAACAGTTTATTTTATAATCTTACGTTCACGATCAGAATATATTTTGTACTAAATTGTTATTTTTATTATTGAATTCTTTTATTTTTATTAATATTAATGTAATACTCAATTTTTAATATTTTTTTATATTTTCCTTCCATACATTACAAAAATATAGCTAGTTAAAATAATTCTCTGCTCATTCATTTTTCGTTATACGTACGGAGGATCGTTTCTTATGTTTCCCAATTTAATAAAAAGATATATATTAGAATTATCCCTAAATTCTGTTTTTTTTTTGCTACCTTTTGAATTGTCCAGGCATATCTCAATAGAATGGTACCTTTTTCTCTTTGATTTACGATTCCTTCTAAGAAAATCAGTAATTTAACTTGACTGCCACAGTTTTTCCTCATAACTTTGATAGGTTTGTTTAGGACCGTTCGCGATAAAAAAATATCATAATGTGCTTAGCCAGTTTTCCAAACTGATAAGACAACTTTCGATATTCGTTAGGCATGATTATTCAGTGAACATGTGTCTATAAGGAAATAAGAGACTAGGAAAGCAGCATATCTTTCACCATATAACGACATACGTTATGGGCAAAGTATATCTACTAAACGTTACACTACATATGTAATAAAGGGCCTAATTTGAATCACTCGTAGTGGTGATGAGAATAGCTTCAACGGCGTTCGGTAAGAATTACGCCGGATGCGAGCTGCAACCTTTATATATCGTCGCCGATATGTGTCCGAACTATATGCTGTAGCGCGATAGCGAAACAAGACGAGAGAGAGACGCCGATCGAGCACTTCCTCGTTAAAGCCGCGCCTTTCCTCGCAATCCAATTTCAAACGCGGCTTTCGATTTCTTCCGTGCTCCGTATATTCGAATCAATCGGCGAGCCGCGGTTCCTTGCCTCGAGGCAAGATCGATCCGTATGTCGTGATCGACTCGAATGAAACGCGATGACGTCATCGAACTTGTAAATAATATTCTTTCGTACGTCTTTTCGACCAATGTCGTAATCATTTCGGTAATTTTTAGCATACTCTCTGCAAAATACGGCCGGTCAGGGAGACGACGCGTTTTTCAAGGATACAGAATTCCGCGTTATTTCGCAACAAGAGTCGCGGACTTCGAAACCCGTTTCGAGCAGAGGTTTCGCGATCGTTACTTCTTCGTTCCGCCGCTCGCGCGCGATCGCGGGGCACAGAAACGAAAGAATCGAACACCGCGTTCGCATTCGTCCGTCGGCCAACCGACACGGCTTGGCGCGGTGCAGCTCGACAGCGGCAGAGGAAACGGCCGAAGAAAGATAGAGATGCCCACAGGGCGCTTCCTCGCTGGACGCCGCGATTTTCTCCTCGTGACCGGAAGCGAGGCGGGTCTTGGGCCAGGAACTCGACGAACT